AAGGCACTCAATGAAGGATTGTGAAGCATAAATGTAGGAATGCAGTTTTTAAAAACTATGTAACCTCAAAAATCTTTAGATAATTCAGATGTCTGCTTTTAAAGGAGCTGACCATTATGGTTTAGATGAAGTCCAACTGCAACAAACTGTCTGCTCCACCTCTTTTCACAATTCACGTAGGATATTTATATTAAGCATATGCTGTATAGATGTATTCCTAGATTTTCCATAGATCAGCTGATGTTTGAAAGTGTGTTACTCTGGGCAAGATGAAGGAAGAATATCTAAGCAGAAGACGTGTACCTACCTCAGTTGTAGAAGAATATAGTATCTAGAGATGTCATGATGTACACCAAAAAGGGTTTTGAATATCATATTGTTGTATTTCACTCTTAAAAGGCTTACTATATTTAGCAAAATCTCATACGAAAACAGCCACTACTATTCTGGGAGCAACAACCAAACCTCCACTTTAGGATGTTTTAAATTAAAAACAAATTTTTTTTTCCTCCATATATTTATCACCTTTCCAAGTCCAAAAGTAACTCTTAATCTGCTTGGAAAAGATTATGCATACACATAGAAAAAAGGTTACATAAAATACTAAACCAAGTAAGGTTTCTAAAAGTAGGGGTAGTTTTATGAATATAGTGCACTGGTTATTGCAACACTGGTATTATCAAATATAATAAATTTCACAGAAAATTAATTTAGTGTTTAAGTAGTGAGTTAATTTTCACACAGAAACATGAAAAGAAATGCATATGACAAATTTGAAATGAAATTGTTATTTTAATGGTTTGATTTTATGTTTTGATGACAATTGGAATGCAATTGCATTCTGGGGAAATACGTTGATTTAATTAACCAATTTCTAAATTTCAGGGGGTGGGAGGTACAGCTAGGAGGGAGGTTATAAAAACTCATTCAGACTAATTCTCATATTTCTTTCAATAATAGAATATATAACAAAAATAGATGTTTTAATTTTTTTTTATTTCTAAATTATTTATTTATTCAATTTTAATACAAAATCCCCTTTTTCAAAATAGTGTTATAAAATCTCTAAAAGGAAGCTAAAAACAAGAACACATAAATAAATAATTTACATTATTGTACTTCATTTAAATAGTTTTTCTTCTAGTAGTATAAGGAAAAAAATAGATATTTACGTTTTTCTGTAAAAAAGTTACACATTTTAATGAATTCACTATATTTTATTTTCTTTAGATTATCTGATGATGAATATCCAATATAAAATGTTGACTCTAACACAGGTATAAAATAAATAAAATCTGAAGTTAAGCAGTCTTCATTTGTACAGGTCTAATATTAAAAGTTATCATGTGCCTTAGGTCACTGTCTGTAAAATAGACCCGATAATGTAGTTTTCCTTTGTAATGGATTTTTTGTTAAAGTTATAGACATATATGTAAGTATTCTAGAAAGCTAAAAAGCTAAAAAAAGCAAAGATGAATGTAAAGGCCTTTAAATGATCGCCATGTTCCATTTCAATTTGTTACATAATTAAAACAATAAATATGGAAAGAATTTCCTGTATTTTACTGAGAAAATAATTCACTGCCAGTCTCTGAATCCTAGTGATGTAATTTTACAGGTGGTTATGGTTTCATTCATGAAAAAGTGAAAGACAAATAAGTAAACGTTCACACCAGAGTATATTGGTGGCAGAAAAAAATAAAAACACTAGAAAATTTACCTTTCATAGTTATTGTAGCCTAACCTCCTGAGATGTGAGAATACGTATTTAAATACTTTCTTAAGCTGATTTAAAAACATTATTCTCAAAAGAAAACTGAATTTAATATTTATAACATGAATGTGTTTGTTCATCCTATCCTCTGCAATGACAAAAATATTTGTTTTTTCATAAATAACTTCAAGCAACCTTCAAAAAACTTTATTGTAAGTTTAAAAGGTGTAATTTTGTTTCTCTAGAAAAAAGCAATAGCTATTTTGGCATCAATGTTCCTTTACCATAGGGTACTTTACAAATATAATGTTTCTAAGAGCTTTTTCTAAAGATGGAAATAAAGCAGATCAATATACTAAATGCTAAAAAGGTCACAAATAAAATATTTATCATTTAAAAGCTAACTAGCTAAATCTAAGTCATTAAAAAATGTGATGGTACCCTCCACAGAATAATCAATGCTTAGTAAGAGATACTGTAGGTTGCTGATGAAAGAAATATATTTACAGACTAATTAAACTTTAGATAGTCTATTTTTTCACCCAAAGCTTATTTTCTTAGAATTTTGTAATAGTAAAATAATAAGAAGAATTTTCAATATTTGTTCCATTTTTACTTAGTGCTGAGCAATAAATGCTAGAGGCATTAAATACATTATCATATTCACAGCAACCTTTCCAACAACCCATGACCGAGTTTGTGGCGGAGGTTGTTTTCATAACTGTCCCTATTTACATAAAGAGGCATCTGAGCCTTAGAGAAGTTAGCTGACTTACCTAAGGACATACAACAATATGTGATGGAGCCAGGATTTTCTGACACCAGATGCAGTGCATTTAAGTACAAAGCAAGTCTTCATACTTAAAGAAAGGTAAATGGAGATTTATAGATATATCATCATTGATCTGTGAGATTTATTGTTTACAACTATGTGTGCGCATAAGAGGAACCTAAATGAAGTAAGAAAGAAGTGACTAGTTTAAATCACAAAGGCCGTCAAGTTAATATATCCAAGAAGGCTAACGCCCAATTGGACATTTATTTTTCAACTACATATTTTTTTCTGAGCTTTAGTTGTTGAATCATGTGTGGCATATCCAAAATAATTACCAGTGAATTTTGAAAAAAAATTAGCTTTATATATAATAAAAAATGTTTTATAAGTGAGTTGTCTTCATTATATTGTTATTATAGATTCAGGTTAGAATCATTTACATTTGAAATGCACAGTGGAAGAAAATGCATAAAATGATTTTTTTAATTGATTAAATTAATCTTAGTTTGCTTAATATATTACTTGTATAGCTTGAGGCACTAGTGTTTTTTAACTTTTATATAAACTTATATTTGAAAATTGCTAAATAATATTTGGAATCGCATTCCCCATTTGTATATTGGAATTTTTAAAAATATATACCAAATTCTAGTGGCTGAAAAATACTTTTGTTTCTCCAGTCATTCTCCAATGTGTGTTCATATGATAAAAGAATAGCTCTATGGAAATCAATAATTTCTGTGGATACTAGCTAGGCACGTTTCCTAAATTATCACCATCTAAATAACAACATTTGGTAGGGGAAGTAGTTCTGAAAAATGGCATAAAATTAATTTTTCTCCAACATTACTATGTGTATTACTAGTTTCTCTTTATCAGAAATGATTGTAATTATCAAATAAGTATCATCAAAATTATACTTTACTTGGGCCTGAGAGTTCCCAGTTTGTTGATCCAGTGCTTAAGGAATACTCATTTGCAATGTCATAGAGACACTAGAAATACATCCATATTCTAGCACAGGTGAGCCACAAATCACCAGGGTAAAGTGATAAGCCACCATGTCACAAACAGAATAATTTTTATTAACCTATCTGCAAACTCTGAGATTGTTAAAAGATAAATAATATGCATTTCCTGGAAAAAAATAAGTAAAATATAGACATGAGAGTCAGTCATTCTGCAGAAAAATAAATTAGCATTCAGGTAGGTATGACATATTCAGGAGCAGCCTGTTAGTGGTAGATTCAAACTAAGAACAATTATATTGATTCCTTTGGATAAAAAAAAATTCTTGAAGCCTTATTAAAATATTTGATCTAGTTTTAAAAGAGAGAACTTTATTTTACATATATTTTTTCCAAAGTGTTTTTTTTTCAAAATGCAAATTTATGTTTCTGTATCTTTCACTTGTATCCCACATCAGTTACATAATGAGCATGCCATTATGACGCCGACTAATGAAAGGTTTTTTACCATTAAAAAGGAAATTATAATTTTATAATGTTATATAAGCCAATTATAACACAATCCTGGTAAGAATCATTTTGAATAATCCTATGACATGGTTTTATATAATCCTGTCTTTTCCCTTTAGATGAGACAATGTCACCACTTTTAATCTGGTTTCTTCCCATTGTGCTTATTTTTCTGTCTATGTTGTTTTAACTGTGTAGTCTGCCCTCATATTCAACTACGGGCATCTTACACTTGATTCATTTCTATTATACTAGCTCCTCTTAACATTTCTACTTTGTCAGTCAGCATATCTATCCTATTCCCAATCACCTTTTTCATAAATATTCTCTGTATGACTTTTGGGATTTCCTGCAACTATATGCCAAGGAAAGGTGGCCCCATTTTTCCCTACCTTCAGAAAGATCATAAATCCCATAACTCTGTTAAAATTTGCCTCTATTCTAAAGTGATTTTTTTGTTAAGTATTAACTGGAAAATACAGGTACCTTTCTTCTAAAATGAAGATTTTTTTAAATATTCTTAGATAGATATTTTAAAATATAGTCTCTGTCAAAGCAAAGTGCTTCGAGCCATCATTTGTAAGTTTAAGTCTAAAACTAAAATACTTCCATATAGAGCACTTATTTAATACTTCTCTTACAGGAGTTTTGACTGTATTTTCCTTTTAACAACGTGATGATCTATTAATGGCTGTGACTTTCTTATAAAGTACAGCTAGGGATATGATAATATTAATTATCTTCCCCTCAGGGAATCAAGAAGTATATTTGAAAGAACAGTTACTTCATTTTTTTTCTAAAGAAATTTTGTAAAAATTTTTTCAAATCAGTACCATGTCAGTTGCTTAAAAAGATTGTTTGAAAACCAGAGCCTAGCTCTCCACAATCAAGAAATTGAAGTAGGCCAGGGACTATCCCTTTTTCCTTGTCATTTTAGTTGACTATTTCTCAGATAATATTCATTTTTTAAAATAGCTGTCTAATCTTTTCCAGTGTGAGGTTTAACAAAATTATTTTCTCTTATGTTTTTAAGACACACTTTTTAATGGTCTTGGTCTTGGAGCCGTCATTGGCCTGGGAGTTGCTGCACTCTTGCTAATCCTTGTGGTAACAGATGTCAGCTGCTTCTTCATTCGACAATGCGGGTTGTTAATGTGCATCACCAGGAGAATGTGCGGGAAGAAAAGTGGCTCTAGTGGCAAAAGTAAAGAACTGGAAGAAGGAAAAGCTGCATACCTGTGAGTATCAGATATCTGGATCACACCACATTGAACAAGGGATTCACGTAGGTTTAAGTGCTTTATTCAGGGCTGTGCTTTCTAAGCAGGGTTAAGAGTTTAACGGTAAGACCATGGGGCACTGCACTGTTTGTTTTCTGACCTTAAATCTGTATGACCTTAAACATCTTATAGAGCCAAATCACCAAAAACAGACTATTGTATTAAAAAGTAAAACTTAAGATGGGATCCAAGGTAAAAATATTAGTCATGATTTAAATATTGATAGGTAGATAAGTAGGTACATTAAATGGACACATGATTAGATGATAGACACATAATTATACAACTATATTTGGTTATGATTTCTCTCACTATTTTTCAGTTTATATTGAATAAAAGAAAGGCCTCAATAGTTATCTCAGTTAAAAACTAAACTGAGTTAAAAGCATAAATTGTGCCAACTCCTACAATTGTAAGAAGTGACTGCATATAAGTTTCAAGATAGTATATATAAAAATGTATGTGATATGTAATACATTATTACAGATTCTGAGTTTACTCCTCCAGCTCTTCATCAAAAGATGACTATACATGCATATTAGAATTTGTAGTTTTCTGTGGCATCTCATTGAATTAGACAAAATATGAATTCTAAGAAAAATGCAAAGCTAAATTTTGTTGAAAATGTTTTTGTCTTGTAAAAGAGTAATTAAGAGGTATTAATACCTAATATTTTGTTTTGTCATTAGATAAATTTATATCTAATCTCAACGGACCATAGGGAAAAATACGAAAGCACAGGGGAGTGTACACACACACAATGTCTATGTGTATGTGTGTATGTGTGTGTGTGTATATATACATATTAAAATTTGCAATTAAAAATGAACATTCTTAAGAGTTAAGGACATCTTTATATTTTCTTGATTCTGTAGTCTTTCCATTATTCTATTATTATATAGTTTTTCTTGCATTTTGGTATGGAAACTTTCAAACATCAAAAAGCATTGAAAGAATTTTATAGCAAGCACTCATTTACCAACTATTTGTGTTCTACAATAAATATATTTATTTTATCACATATTTATCCATCCTTCAAACTGTCACCTTTTTCTGCATATCAAAAAAAATCAGTATACTTAACCTCTACACATTTTAACTAGTATATCACTGCATAGTATTCAATTTTTGTTTTTTTGATTTTTTTAAGTAAAACTTATATGGAGTGAAATGCACAACGTGTTCCATGTATGAGTTTTGACAAATGTTTATATCCGTGTAACTCAAGCCCTATCAAAATTCTGAACTTTAGCATTACCCTGTCCAGTTATCCCACACTACTCCCCCTGCCCGAGGCAATACTATTCTAATTTTTTTTCACCATAGGCAATTTTTAACTGTTAGGGAACTTGATATAAATGGATTTCTACAATGTATACTTTTTGTGTCTGGTTTTTTTCACCCAATATAATGTTTTAAGGCTCATTTATGATGTTCTGTGTATCAGTAATCCATTTCTTTTTATTTCTGAATTCTTTGTGTATTTTTCTCTACATACATTTAAGCATATATGGTCTCATACATTATTTTCTAGTATTAGGGATATAGAATAGTGCATTCTGCATGGCTGCATTTTTTTGTTTTTGTTTGTGTTTTCATCTCCAAGCCTATTTCAATATCACTAGGAAATTTGTCAGTGACTACTTCCCACAGATACACTGTAGGGATATTTTCACTTCAGGGGATGCTATATTAGATAGCATACATTTTTAATCAAAAAAATATAGATTCAGTTTGCAATCTAAATTCCACCTGCTTAATTGTTGGACATAGAATATAGCAAAGAAGAAACAGAAATTAGGCTCTACTTCACACTTGAATGGGAATTAATGTCTGACAGTAAATACAATGAGATCAATTCACCATTCAATATCTTTTGCTTTCTTCATAAGAAGTTTCTGTGTTTTTACATTGTTTTATTAGCTAAATAAACATGTCGTCAAACTTAGTATTAGCTTATTTCTCACATATTAAAAATATATATATTTATTGCATAATTACACATGTTTACATTACAAAGCTGAATTTTATACATTTTCATTCTTGCTCAAATATTGAAAATATTATTTATGGAATAAATAGTAAGTCACAAGCTCTGCTCTGCAATCTAGCAATAAAGTGATGAACAAAATAAACAAGGACTTTATCCACATGGAACATATTTCTAATGCAGAAAGCCAGAAAATAAGCATTAACTAAAAATGAAATTCTCTAGTAATGACAAGCAGAATGATAAATTGTTGCTAGAGACTGGGACATTGAAGACCTCTCAGGGGAAGTAACACTGCAGCTCAAGTGTTGAGTTCAAAAGAGCCAGCAATATAACAGCCTGGGAAAGAATAGCCTATGCAGGTGTAACAATTAATACAAAGACCATTAAGGCAGGAATAAGCTTACTATGTTAAAGGACAAATGAACATGAGTAGTGTGAGGCACAGAGAGAAATTCGTACAAATATTGGGTTGGAGAATTATCTAGGGACCAAAGTGTTAAATCTTCTTGGGTCACGATAAAGAAACTTTTGTTTTGTTTTGTCTTATTTTGTTTCGTTTACTTTTGTTTAATAGAAAGCTACTGAAAGTTTTTTTAAGATTAATTACTTTAGCTACTTGTACAGAATGGATTACTGGAGGGCTGGTAAGTGCAGAGGAAAGATTTTAGAATTAAGGAGACCAGGCAGGAGGATCTTGAAATCCTCAAAGTGAAAAATAATGATCATTTGATCCAAGGGACCTGTGGTACTACTATAGGCATTTACACGTGTATAGATTCTGGATATAGGTCAGGTAGACTCCACTATTATTGATTGATTGAACGTTGGGGTGAACGAAAGATATCAAAAAGACCTGCATGTTTTTGTCTTAACTGGAAAGATGTTGGTGACAATGGGATGAACAACAAGCTGTATTCAAGTTCTGCTGTTTATTTTTATTTGAGTTTATCATTTGTGTATTTATTCACCAACACACTTCTATTTGTAAATCCTGCGAAGTTGAAGTAACCTTAAAGACTTGGGAAGATGAAAACAAAATTGTTCATTCCAAGCTTTTTTATTCATCATACCTTCTTATAGCACAGCTTCTTCTGCCTTAGGAAAACAGCTTTCAACTCTTTTACAAAAATTCATTGTTCAAATTGGAAAAAAATATATATACAAAAATCTCAATGAGAAATAGGATATAACTGATGTATAGAACAACATATTCAACGTTGTAGAATAGTTTCACAGCCCTGATATGACCAGTGCTCCAAAATTACACCGTCTCTGACTCCCTCACCCTGAACCCCTGGCAACCACTGATCTTTTTGCTGTCTCTATCATTTTGCTACTTTGAGAATGTCATATAGTTGGAATTACACAATATGTAGCCTTTTCAGACTAGCTTATTTTCCTTAACAATGTGTGTTTAGAGGTTTTGCATGTCTTTTTGTAGCTTTGTAGGTCATTTCTCTTTATTATAATATCCAATTGTATGGATGCATCACAGTTTGTTTATCCATTCATCTGTTGAGAAAGACATCTCCCTTGGTTCCATTTCGGGGCAATTATGAATATAATTGTGCAATACATGCATATTTTTTTGAGAACATAAGTTTTCAACTTATTTGGTTATATATGAAAGAGAACAACTGTGGGATAATATGATAAGCGTGTGTTCCTGAGTAGTTGAGGTCTCCATGTCCTTCCCATGTAAATATATATATATATATATATATATATATATATATATATATGTGTGTGTGTGTGTATTTATTATTTGTTATCTGTATTATGAGTGCATCATTCCAATTTTTATATCTCACTTACCCTTTAATACCACCAAATGACTTCCTTTTTTTTCTCTCTTTTACTTTATTTCTTGAGGTATGAAACTTTGCAGTAAACTTTCTAATTTTCACAATTATGATAAGTTACACTTACTTGCATATTTTAGAAATCTTATAATAAAGATGACATGAATATGAAAATACAAATGAAAATATCTTGCATGTATGTTATAGTATTATTTTATTTAAACTATTTTCTTGAGAACATGAATATGTTAATAGTTAATGTTACATTATAGTTAAAATAATTCATATAAATTTATAGAGACATTTAAAACAATGAAAGATATTTTATGTGTAAATTTTATCTTCCAAGTTTTGAAACACAATTTTGATGAGGAAAAAAAAATTGTAGACAAAATGAATTTTCTTCTTTCTAGGTTTCTGAGTGAAAAATATGGTGAGATGAATTTAAATGGAAAAAAAATTCTTAGTGATATTCTTAATCTGACCACGTTAGATTTATTTTAGAGGGAAGTGGTATCAGATGGAAATTTTAAAATATGTCCCATAATGCATTCATTTTTACAATATATAGGTAGGATTTTTTTCTTAATTTTTCTAGGAAAGATGGATCAAAAGAGCCAATAGTGGAGATGAGAACAGAAGATGAAAGAATTACTAATCATGAAGATGGAAGCCCAGTAAATGAGCCAAATGAAACCACACCACTAACAGAACCTGAGTATGTAGATTGAAATGCTTAACTATTTTTCAGATAAGTATTTGTAAAGTGATAGCATGTTATTATTATTTTTAGTAAATATTTACAAATATAATCATTTGTGAAAATTTTTCTCATTTGCTTTTCAATGAAACTACATGTGAATATCTAAAATAAATTTGGTATTTAGACATTTCACATGAAAACTGTGTATCAATGACAGAGAAAATCAACTGTTCAAACATATGTTTATAATTTTATGCAAAATGTCAAAAAGTCTGATGTTACAGAGTCGGGTTTCCCTACACTTATCACACTCTTTAAGAAATTTATGCTTTGAAAGTGAAATTGATTTTTACTGAAATGTAGATGTGTCAGGAAGTTAGTGTTTGCTTTAAATATAAATATGACAGTCTGAAATAGAAACAGTATAAAATATACACAAGACATTTTAAATAAAGAATATTTGGAAAGAACAGGAAGAAATACTATTAAACTGTCATTTTAATATCTATATAGTAAATGATGCTTGGTCTCCATTCAAGATTATGCCATATACATCTTCCAACATCCGTCATAGCTCCATTAAAACCATAATAGGTATTTTAACTAAACCTTTAAAGATTATGAACCTGTGCCTAGGTTCATGTACATAAAAATTAACATGATTGAAACCAAGGGCATTTTTAAGAAGTAGTAATAGTAGTATTTTACATGTAATTATTTTATAATGTATGTAATATATACTCAAAAAATATATTTAATATATTTGATACAAAGCCATGACCATCACACTGTTCTTTAAATACTATTCAACAAAATGTCTTCTAAATGCTATTGTTTTTTCAAAACAAAGAGCACTTTTTCCTTGCCAGCTAGCATTCCCTGGCAAAAAAAACAAAAGAAACAAACGAAAAACCAAGACAAACAAACAAACAAAAAAACCAACTTGATTTAGGCTTCTCATCCTAAATCAAATTCTGAGTGTTGTCATAGCTGAAGACAACAATTTTTTTTTCAGAAATCCTTTCTATCTGCTCTCAAGAGACTGAAATGATGAATATTTTGGCAAATACAATGTTCCAATCTATAGCTAAAATTTCAGTATAAATCCTCAGGACGTTTTCAGTGATTACATTTAGAGGTTATTATATTTTGATTTGAAGTTAACTCTAGTAGGAGCAGCTGACACCAGGTGAGTTCTGTAGTCTCCCCTTCAGAAATTAGAAATCTTTTCAAAGAAGCAAAATATTACCCCCAAAAAACAATTTCCTGTGTATCAATTAACACTTACAATGTTATACCAATGTGTATCAAAACAAGTTAACAAAATGCCCTTGCATACAATAGAGTTATATTTTAAAACAGTCAAGCAAACAGAAACAAAAACAAAAAGATGATTTAAGAGTGACATCACAGAAATGGAGGCGTAAGGAATGCTTCTTGAAATCTCCCTTGGAAGTTACAACAAATTGAACAGCTGTAATTCAACAAAGGATTCTCTGCTCATCAAAAAGGAACAGCAAAGAGACCCACACATCAAATTACTTGAAGGGGTTTCTTTTGTTCTGAAATTGCCCTACACTAGAGCCCCGCCCAAGAGGCACCAGAATTAACACACCCAGAGGCCAGCTTCAGAACAAGCCAGAGCATTACCTGATTTGCCTAACAAGTGGTACACCCAAAGGGAATTCTCAATAGGCACAAGAGCCCACAGGGGCAAAGCCTCCGCTGAGGGCTCAGCCCTCACACAGCAGCTCATACACTGTGGGTGTAGCCAATCCTCATAGCTAGTCAGCCTGGGAGTCAATCCCACCCACTGACAACCAAAAGTAATCAAGGCTCAACTACAACAGGAGAACAAACAACACAAGGGACACCTCTGAAACACATGCAGATTAGGGAGACTGAGAAATCCAACTACAAAGGACACATACTACATAAGATCACCCAGCAAAGACTGAGAGACATAGGCGGTCTACCTAATACATAGAAGCAAACACAGAGCAATAGCCAGAATGAGGAAAAAAAGAAACATGTCTCATATAAAAGAGCAGAAGAAACCTCCAGAAATGGAACTAAATGAAATGGAGGCAAACAACCTACGCGATTCAGAGTTCAGAATACTGATTATAAAAATGCTTAAAGGAACTGAGAATTTCAACAAAGAGATAACAAGCATAAAGAAGGATATTGAAACCATGAAAAATAGCCAGTCAGAAATAAAGAATTCAATAACTGAAGTGAAGAATACATTAGAAGGAATCACCAGCAGATTAGATGAAGCAGAGATCAAATCAGTGATTTAGAAGATAAGATAGTAGAACTCACCCAATTGGAAGAAAAATGGGAAAAAGAATAAAAAACAATGAAAATAGTTTAAGAGACAGCATCAAGCACAACAACATTCTCATCATAGTAATATCAGAAGGAGAAGAAAAGGAACAAGGGATTGAGAACAGATTTGAAAAAATAATGATCGAAAACTTCCCTAACCTGGGGAAGAAAAATGGCATGCAAGCCCAGGAAATGCAGAGAGTACCAAACAACATGAACCCTAACAGGCCCACACCAAGACACGTCATAGTTAAAATGGCAAAGGTTAAAGACAAAGAGAGAATCTGAAAAGCAGCAAGAGAAAAACAGCCAGCTACTTACCAGGGAGCTCCCATAAGGCTATCAGTTGACTTTTCTATAGGAACTTTGCAGGCCAGAAAAGAGTGGCAGGAAATATTCAAAGTAATGAAAACAAAGGCCTACAACCAAGGTTACTTTACCCAGCAAGACTATCATTTAAAATTGAAGAAGAAATAAAGACCTTCCCTGAAAATAATAAGCTAAAGGATTTCATTACCACCAAGCTAGTATTGCAGGAAATGTTAAAAGGGCTTCTTTAAGAAGAAAGGTGAAAACAAACTAACAAGGACCAGAAATACGAATGACAAAATGTCAATAACTATGCACCTATCAATATTTACTTTAAATGTAAATGGATTAAATGCTCTAATCAAAATACATAGAGTAGCGGAGTAGATAAGAAAACAAGACCCTTGCATATGCTGTTTACAATAGAACCACCTCGGATCAAAAGACACACACAGACTGAAAGTTAAGGGATGGATAAGATAATTGATGCAAATGGGAATAAAAAAAAGCTGGAGCAGCGATACTTATATCAGACAAAATAGACTTTAAAACAAAGACTATAATAAAAGACAAAGAAGGGCACTACATAATAATAAAGGGGTCAATCCAACAAGAGGACATAACCCTAGTAAACATCTAAGGACCCAACATAGGAGCCCCTAAATATATAAAACAGATATTGGCAAATATAAAAACAGAGAGCAACTGTAACACTATCATAGTAGGGGACTTCAACACCCCGCTGTCACCAATGGATGGATCCTACAGACAGAAAATCAATATTGATATAGTGGCCTTAAATGACACATTAGACTAGTTGGATTAATTGATATTTTTAGAGCATTTCATCCCAAAGCAACAAAACATACATTCTTCTCAAGTGCACATGGAACATTTTCCAAGATAGACCACATGTTAGGCCACAAAACAAGTCTCAATAAATTTAAGAAGATTGAAATCATATCAAGTGTCTTCTGTGACTTCAGTGCTATGAAGCTATAAATGAATTATAAGAAGTCCAGAAAACACACAAATACATGGAGACTAAATAACATGCTAGTAAATAATGAGTGGGTCAACAATGAGAACAAGGAAGAAATCAAAATATACCTTGAGACAAATGAAAATGAAAACACAACGACCCAAAATCTATGGGATGCAGTGAAAACAGTCCTAACAGGGAAAGTCATAGCAATGCAGGACCTAAAGAAAGAAGAAAAACGTCAAATCAATAGTCTATCTTTACATCTAAGGGAACTGGAAAAAGAACAGCAAAGTAAGCCCAAAGGAAGTACAAGGCAGGAAATAATAAAGATCAGAGTGGAAATAAATGAAATACAATATATATATATATATATATATATATATATATATATATATATATATATATATATATATATATATATATATATCAATGAAACCCAGAGCTGGTTTTTTGAAAAGCTAAACAAAATTGACAAACCTTTATCCAGACTCATCAACAAAAAGAGAAAGAGGACCCAAATTAATAAAATCAGAAATGAAAGAGGAGAAGTGACAACAGACACAACAGAAATACAATTTTTTTTTAAATACTATGAGCAACTATGCATCAACAAATTAGACAATCTGGAAGAAATGGATACATTTCTAGAAGCATAAATCTTCCAAGGCTGAATCAAGAAGAAACAGAAAATATGAACAGATTGATTACTACCAAAGAAATTAAAAAAGTAATCAACAAGCTCCCAAAAAACCAAAGTCCTGGACCAGATGGCTTCACAGGTGAATTTTACCAAACATTCAAAAAAGAATTATCACCTATTCTCCTCAAACTATTCCAAAAAATTGAGAAGGAGGGGAGGCTCCCAAGCTCATTTTAAAAGGCCACTATCACCCTGATCCTAAAACCAAAGACATTACAAAAAAAGAAAACTATAGGCTGCAAATAGATGCAAATGAACATAGATGCAAAAATCCTCAACAAAGTATTAGAAAACTTAATTCAGCAATACATTAAAAAGAGCACACATCACAATCAAGTCGAATCCATTCCTGATATGCAAGGTTGGTTCAATATCCACAAATCAATTAACGTGATACATTGCGGTAAAGACAGTCTATTTAATCAATGGTGCTGGGAAAACTGGACAGACACATGCAGAAACTGGACAGACACCTCCTTATGCTATATACAAGAATAAATTCAAAATGGATTAAAGACTTAAATGTAAGGCCTGAAACTATAAAAGTCCTAGAGAAAATATAGGAAATAAATTACTAATATTTTTATGATATATCCTTTTGGGCAAGGGAAGCAAAACAAAAATATGTGGGATTACATGAAACTACAAACTGTTTTCATAGCAAAGGAAACCATCAATAAAACAAAAAGGCAGCCTACTGAATTGGAGAAGATAATTGCCACAGACACATCTAATAAGGGGTTAATATCCAAAATTTATAAAAACCTCATACAACTCAACACCAAAAAACAAACAACCCAGTGTAAAAATGGGCAGAGGACATGAAGAGACATTTTTCTAAAGAGGATGTACAGATGGCCAACAGACATGAAAAAATGCTCAATGCCGCTAATCATTAGAGAAATGCAAATAAAAGCCACAATTTTACTTGACCACCCCACTCTGGTCAAAATGACTATCATCAATAAATCAACAAACAAGTGTTGGCAAGGATGTGAAGAAAGGGGAACTCTCGTGCACTCTTGGTGGGATTGCTGATTGGTGCAGCCACTATGGAAAATAGTATGGAGGTATCTCAAAAACTTGAAAATGGGACAAACTTATGACCCAGCAGTTCCACACCTGGGTGTCTATTCAAAGAAATCCAAAACACCGGTTCAAAACAATATATGCACCCCTATTTTTTTTTTTTTTAGCTGAGCCATCCTGCCACCTGTTGTCAGCTCAGCAGCAGCTCAGCTCGGGCTGGGCATTGAACCAGCAACCTGTTGCTCAGAGCTCACACTCTTGAGCGAGCTCTTACCCAACTGAGCCACTCAGCCGGTCCCTATGCACCCCTATTTTTATTGCAGCACTATTCACAATTGCCAAGTCATGGAAACAACTGAAATGCCCATTGATAGACAATTGTACAAAGAAACTGTGGTACGTTTATACAATGGAGTATTACTTGGCCATTAAGAAGACTGAAATCTTATCATTTGCAACAACATGGATAGACCTAGAGGATATTATACTAAGTGAAATAAATCAGACTGAGAAAGACAAATACCATATGATCTCACTTATGTGTAGAATCTAGAGAACAGAATACATGAACAAACAAGACAGAAATAGACTCAGAGATATCGAGAGAAAAACTGATGGTTGCTAGATGGGAAGGGATGGACATGGGAGAGAAGGTAAACCAATTAGAAAGGACAAATTAGTAGTCACAATATGACCACAGGGATATAAAATACAGTTTGGGGAATATAATCAATAATGTTTTAAAGATTGTGTAGGGTCCCAGATGGGCACTGGACTTATTAGAGAGACCACTTCATAGACAGTGTAGATGCCTGACCACTGTGCTATACACCTGAAGCTGAAGTTGAATAATATTGAATGTAAACTATAATTAAATATACTGGGGTGCCAAAAAAATGTATACACATAACTTGTATTCATCTTTTGTTATCCGTATATATTATTACAATTTAATGCAGTTTTTTTCTTTCTTAAAATGTGTATATGTTTTTTGGCATTCCCAGTATATGTATTTATATGGTCATGGGATGTGGAGTGCAGCATAGGAAATATAGTCAATGGAATTGTAACAGCTATATATTGGGTCATCAGGAAAGTCATGACGTATTTTTTTTTTATGTTTTTCAATGCAAAAATGTGTCATGACTTTCCCGATAGTGCAATATGATGTCATAGGGGTATTAGATTGGGAAGGGTTATCACTTTTTGAAGGGTATAAATGTCTAACTATTACATTGTTTTGTACACCTGAAACTAATTTAAAAAATAAAGATGGTTTAATAACTACCCTGATACTCAATAATAGAAAAAAATACTAAATAAAAAATGATAACAGTAATCTTTAAAATAAATTACCATAAATGTAAGTAAAAATCGTTATATATGCAACAACACACCATCCAAGATTTACTTGAAAACACTCAGGAATTACAAACTCAATATATACATATCTCTGCTTAGACATATATTGAGCATATACTAATCTCCCATCCAAGTTCTATATTTCTCTACATTTTTTTTTTTTTAGATTTTTTTATTGGAAAAATGGGGGAAGGGGAACAGACAAGTTGCTGTCGTTTTGTTCTTCAGTCTAGTTGTGGAGGACGTTGCTTCACTGGCCCAAGTTGGCACCATCATTGCGCTCTTCCCCAGTGAGGCAGATCAGTCGCCGGTTTCTGGATGGCTGCTCACAGTGGCTGCTGGCCGCTCACGCTGGCTGCTGGCTACACACGCTGGCTGCTGGCTACACACGGTAGCATGGCAACCCACCTGCCGTCGCCAGCGACTCAGGGCAGCCCAGCTCCAGGTCACGCTGTTGTTCAGCATCTTAGCTGTAGAGGGCAGTGTCATTGGCCCTCATATGTGGGATCTGACACGGGGCCCTCTGGCATCCCTAGCCAGCTCTTAACCAATGTGCCACTCAGCTGGCCCTAAATTCCTCTACGTTTTGATGGTATAAGTGACTTATCGTTTTTTTACAATCTTATTGTCAATCTTTTCAGCACTTGTGAATGGGAAAAAGGAAGATCTGTGAATACACTATTGATAATGTGTATAAAAGAGCCTGCATATTGTTTGTTCAACAGCTTCTGAAGTTATTGTAACAGAATATGGCAACTATTGATTGTTTTTATCTGAAAAGCTTAAGAACTAGTAAATCATCTAGTTAACATATAAAAAGTGTTTTGGCTGTTTTACATTCCAAAACAATTATAATTTTAACATCACTAACTGATTATCAGATTTAAGCCACCCTATAATGAATGACTTGGTGCTTCTAAATTTACATATATATTATTTCATTCATCATTCTACATTATATATCACAGTTTTACACTAGACAATGTTAATTGTTTTATTAACTTTTAGATTATTTTTTGTCAATTTGATATTACTTTCACAAATCAGGTTTTTTTAATCCTAATAATAAAACAATTAACATTGTAACATATTTGTTTCTACAAAACAGCAACTTAAATGTTAAGGGATTCCACTTAAAGTGCCTTAGCAAATTAAGTTTCTTATTTTTATCTTTCCTTCCAGAAAATTGCCTTTAAAAGAAGAGAATGGGAAAGAAGTCCTAAATCCAGAAACTATAGAAATTAAGGTTTCTAATGACATCCAATCAAAAGAAGACGACAGCAAAGCATAACACCAAGATTACAGAGGCTTGAGCAATGCTACAAAGAGCATTCGGATCGCAGTGTGACCCTATGACCAAAACTATTCCATTGACCTTAATTTCTTGGGAAACTTCTAGCTTGGAATAGCTTGTACACATATACATATGATCAAATACTCCTGCCCATGGTCCATTTCCTTTTGTTGTTGTTGTTGTTCTTGCTGTTGTTTATTTTGTTGAGAATTTCAATATAGAGACCTGACTGGCACTGAAACTTGGGTACAATGTGACTCTATGATTGAAGTACTGCAATTTATTATATGGCTAAAATGCTCTACTTCGTAAGAACTTATATTTCATACCACAAGCTCTCCAACAAATAGGGGTTTAAGAACACAACAAAACAAAGCAAAAACTTTGTGAGCTAACTGTATAAGAAAGCCCTGCATGTATTTTAATCCTATCTTGAGCAAATAGATTAGTAAAGTGGACTTCAGTTTAAGATGAAAATTCTTAATCAATGTTTATACTTTATCAGGAGAATTTCAGGGAACCCGGGCTTGAAGGAGCCAGCTATCTTCAGCAAATATTAAAAATGGAGAGAAACTTTGGCAAACTCTTTTTAAGTTATAATTACAGTCTATTTGAACATGGATTTTTGATAGACAGAAGTGCCAGATCAAAATTGTTACCCACTTGAATGAATATTAGTTGTGTGTAAATTAGATTAGAAAGATTCCATAAATCTCTATCGCTTTATATATGCCATAATCACTCACAATGGATTACACACAAAAAAAATGTATTGCAAGTGAAAGTAATATTGATTTCTGCCCTCAGCTTCAAATAAAGTAAATTGAAATGGGAACAATATCAATGTCGTCTTAATATATTTAAAAATATGTGATTATCATTTACTTTTAAATAATTTTATCAAAAAACAGGTCTTTAGTGTCCAAATACTTCAAACCATATTTTCTCATACATTTTTTGCCCATTGTTTTCAATAATCTTTCTTTAAAAATTTGTTTTTCAGGTGTTATCGGTCAATCATTAAATGTAATTGGCTAATGGAAATTAAAATTCTTAGTTTGGTTAAATTAAGGAGAAATCAATATTTAAACATGCCATAAAAGTGTCAACGATAAACAACTGAATTGCCACTATCTGTTTTTATTCGGATGTTGTAGCTAGAAGTTATTTTAAGATTTTGATAAACAACTTTGGTTAAAGAAATTCCTCAACTATTCAATACATACTTTCTAATATTACTCATTAGGGCCTACACCCGAACAAAATGCTTACTAACTTCCAAGCTATGCAAGCTCCCAGAGGTAAAAGACTGAAACGTGATTTTCACTTACATGTAAGGTAAAAGAAAATGTATTTATGATTTTAAATATACATACCAATTGGGAGCAGGTTTTAGATTATTTCTTATCCTACAGAGCCAAATGTTTCTTCAGTCTCCATCACATGCATAACCTTTAATGTTTCAGGTGGTATTATAGTTCAGATATTGGGGGATGCATTCCAATAAAACATTGGAGGGAAGTTTTAACAGTGCAGAGCGACCTGCTTTTAGGGTATCTCTCTATAGAGATAATTTGATGAACATTAAATGTAATGTCAGTGCCACTTATGAACACTTTTATATGCAAAGTGCTTAAAATTCGTAGGCAAGGAGAGACAGCTAGCTGATTTGACAAAATTTGGGTTATCAGCAAGACCAAACATGTATCCATCTGCATGTTCAGGCACTAAATCTCCAGTGTCATTACAGGGTTATAATGCAGGATTCTCTACTTGCTAGTCTTCCTGGCGTATTCTGAAGAAAAAGAAAAGAATTCCCGTGCCTACCTAAGAACTTTAGTAGGAATTATCCAGATGGTCTTTTTGATGGATTTGTTGCTGTGTAAGCTATGTTTGATCTCATCTGTTTGCTTTACTTTTTTTTTTCATCCTTTTATATCAATGTACTAAAACTAGTCAAAATACTTGAATTAGTTTGTGCAAAGTAAATGGGCTTTGTAAAGTGTCTATGAAGCAATAGCCATGAATGCTAATTTTTCTTGGTTAGGGTTACCTGGATTTAAACTAATTATGGTGAAAGAATTAGGAAAATTTAGCAATTTCGCATGTTTACCATTGTTACATTCGTGCTATACTTCAAGAGCAGAGAAATCATAATAAAGAACAAATATTTTTGTGTTTTCTCAATTTGAAAGTTTTATTTTTCTCATTTTTTTGGACTTTCCATGTAAAGCAATTTACTTAAATATTCCATATATATATATATATATGATTTGAATTTTTTGCCACTAATGTGGAGAAATGATCTGAAGTTAGCAGGTAATCTGGAACTAATTGAGGACAGATTGTTTCAAGTGAACTGTTTCAGTTGTCTGAGTGGTCCTTATCTCTTGTCTTTGAAATGTATGCCACACAGGAACAAGGCAGTACTGTGATAAACTTTTCCTTTTTAACATTTTTATGGAATGCTCCAAATTACTCTATTTGTAAACGTTTCCATATAAGAGATGGATTTTGGTAATTTGTAAAATATGAATAGAACTGAAATCATCTGTTTCTTATTTTTCATTCTTCTTCTAGACTAAACATACCTATGTAACTGTATAAATGTTATTTTTTACTGTCTGAAAGTACTCTTAAGTGTTAGGATAAAATGTCAAAAGAATTGACTGAATATAAGTGCTATTAAATAATCGAACCTATGTTCTTTAAAAAAAAGAAGCAAAGACATCACTAAAAATATTGGTATTTCATGACAGGTTATGTGCAATTAGGCAATGACAATCTACACTCAACAACATAGGAGGAAACAGTAATATCAGCATTTTAGTATGTATTTTGCTTTTACAACCGGCACAAATTATGTGTGAACATATTTCACAATGATTTGCAAAGAACTTTAATTCAGAATTGTGATTTCTAAAGATTTATTTATTACTTTTGTGAGTCAGCATATTACCATTCTATACTAATGTCTAACATTAATGTAATGCTTCACACATTTTCCTTTATTTTTAATATTAATACATACATAAGCATTTTTCAAAAACTAGTTCATCCAGGAAAGTTTACACAAAATCCTAGTCTTTGAATTAAGTGTTTATATAAATAGAAGGATTTTATTAATGAAATTATTTATTTGAGTGCCAATAATTAATTATAATTTTATAATCATACCTTTATTTTATGCTTGTTATTTTAAATAATTAAGATGTATTTGTGCCTTTAGATTAGCATGACAGTCTGCTTTTTAAAAGAAAAAAACACAACTGCCATCTTTATTGACATATTTTGCTCCTATCTGTGACACTTGAATGATAGTGTCATAATTTTATTCAGTGAATAAGCTCAATTCAAACTACTTTGCCTTGAATACAAAATCTAAATATAACAAATTATACTGCGTAATTTATTTCCACTTATAACAAAACAATTATTTAGATGCACACACAAAATATACTTAATTTCTCCTGTAATATCATTCTGAACAATAAATACATTCTAAATATTGTTGAAAGTGAGTTTCACCAGTGCTAAGACAAAGCAACAGATGACATCTTAAAATAAGGTAAATTATTATGGTGTCACTTGGATCTACATTACTCCTGTTAAATGTTTGATTTGGGATAATAAATCATCCTTTATTTTTGATAAGAAAATCACTGATGAAAATAACTAACTGAAGTGGTAAAAAGAATAATCTCTTAATTTGTTAATTTAAGAAATATTAGAATTACATATTACAATTACTTATTAAAATCGCAATGTTCTTTTTCATGGAGAATAATTTAATTGCTCAGTTTCAACCCCTTACTCATGTAGGTCTTTGTCATAATCATATCCAGAGTGCTTATTCAACAGACTTATGAGTAGGTGAAGATGTTTTTTAAATGGATTGTTTGCATAATTTACCTTCACAGAGAAAAAATTTGCATCTTATTAACCCTTTGAAGCATTATTAGTTTTTTTCTCACATTGAACTTTCATATGGATGTATTAGCATATGCTAAAATTATTGGTCACAGAAATGAAATACTTCAATCCTAAAATGAAACTCTTTCAAGAAAGTAGTCTATTTATGGGCTTAACAATGTTCCCAGATGAGGCAATTATCTGTAAATGAAAAAGTTATAAAAGGGTCTACACATGGTAGTTGTTGAATAAATATAATTTTCTTCCAGATCCCTCCTCTCCTTTTTTAAAAATTGCATTTACCTAAGTAGATGCAGCTATTTTACAACATTATACAAGATTGCTAATAGATTATTTCCCCTCATAGACTTTTATATTATATATAATACTTAATATTTATTTGATAACACATTTAATATTCTCAGAAAATAGTTCATTAGTCATGATAAGATTTAATGACTAACAAATACATTAGTTGGTACCACCTCTTTATTTGTTTTATAATATTAAGAAATAAACTACATGCTATTCACAACTATTAATATAAAAATTGCCCATACAAGTTTAATATTGCCACTTTTTTTTTTCTGAAATAAAAACACCTATCTTTTGGCATCTGGTTTCAGCAAAGAAATGACTGTTGGAGCATTTCAAATCACAACCAGGCATAAGAGACTAGAGGAAAAAAGTACTGAGAGAGTCCAGAAAAGAAAACTGAACGCTTATATTTTGAATATGTAAGAAGGACTTCGTGTCAGAAGAGCTGGACCAGGGACTAGGAATATTGCTTAGGTGAAAGTTAAGGTCAATTATACTGATGGAAAGGAGAAAACTTAGTGAAATCCAAAGGACAAAGTTAACATATAGAACTTATAATTCAATTTTGAAAATATGATTTTTTAGAGAACAACATGCATTATATAAAATAAATGGTCCTGTTAAGAGCAAACATATTTGTTCCAATTCTTGAAGGAATGTTCATGGTTTTGCATTTGCCTCTAAACTCTGTTAGGAATATGTGAACTTCTTAGAAATAAAAGTTAAAAAAAAAAGACTTTTGGGGGGGGCGTATGTGAATTCTATGCTGTGTTCAGTATGCATTAAAACATACTTTTATTTTCTTTAACTTATATATTCCAGTCAAATTCTATATTCTTAAGTTAGCTACCACAAAGTTTTCTTATTGTTTTAATATAGTATGTCCCTATGAAATGCTGTATATATATATGTCTAAACTGTACAAATTATACTGCAAATGTTGAAGTTTTGTATTTATGAGAGACATTGAAAGTATGGCTTACAGTATATCAAAATTGTCACTCTTCACCATTTGTATATTAATAGTAAAGATAATTTTACTTTAATAAAGTGTTGCATTTTATGTTTATTTTGAATAACATCTCTGTGATGAGTCAGCTTATGACTTAACACTTTCAGGGTTTTCTTTTTTTAATGGAAGTTTATTGGGGTGACAATGGTTAGTAAAGCTACATAAGTTTCAAGTGTACAATTCTGTAATACATCATCCACATATCACATTGATTGCTCAGCACCCAGAGTCAGTTCTCCTTCCATCACCATATATTTGACCTCCTTTACCCTCCTCTAACATCTCCCTGCCCCCCTTACCTTTCAGTTTTAAAAAAATAATTTCCAAACATATCTTTATATATTCAAATGAAAAGAATGCTTTCTGCGATCTTGCCTTACCCTGAGTCACAATCTTTTGGATTCTCCACTCTGCCCAAGTCAAAGGCTTTAATGAATAAACAGTTGGTAAGAGCAATAATTCTCAGAATGTGGTCCCAACCCAGTGGCATCAGCACCATCTGGGAACTTGTTAGCAATGTAAACATCTGGACCCCACCAAAGACCTATTAAATAAAAAGAATCTTGGAGAGGGGCCCAGGAGTGTTTTAACAAACCTTTATGGTAATTCTGATGCACACAAATTTGAGATCCAGTGGGTTGGGGACACATTTTAAATGACAAACTAGTATTAACATCTAGTACCTGTTGGCATTTTATTTGCCATTATTATATAGAATATCTTCTTGTTAAACTGCATGAGTTACAAAAGAAGGGAAGCTAATCCTCTCTCATGTGCTTTTACAACATGTTTTCACTTTTTTAAAACCAGTGTCAAGTTTAACTTAAAAGGAAGACAAAGTAATAGTAAATACCAAATTTTCAATACAAGCCTTAAAAATTCATACACAATGTACATACATACATGGAAAAAAATTACATTAAATAGGCATTTAAAGGTAAAATAAAGGCACTTTTATATTGTGCTCATTTTCTCAGTATCCTGTATTTAATTAACAGAACAGTTATAATAAATTCAAAATGTACCATGATAAAGAGGCTAAGACTAATTTAGTCTCTGATATTGATAGAAATATACCAGGTAACCATGTTTATATTTTAGCAAATTTCTTTCATTCCTTTCTAACTCAAGTTATTGCCTACTATAAATTATCTTTACTTATAATATAGAAAATAAATGTATGTCTCCTATGATTCAGATCATATGTGGAGTCAGCTCTTCCAATTTATTTTTAAATTTATTTTTTTCTGAATGAATTTTCAGCACACAAGTTAGAATGTTCTCAAAATATAAAACATGTTCTATTTTATTTGAAGTGTCTTATATGAGTACTTACCCTTTGCCTAACTTTACTCCCTACAGCAAAATTCATGTTTGGGTATTTTACCTTTTCTAGATAACTTAATTCATCTTCTATAGACAGAATTTTGGGGGGGATAGTGTCAGTGAGGTCACTGTACTGCTCTATTAGAGTAATATAAAATTTAATCAATATTTAACTTACTGTGATATTTTAGTAATCCATGAGGCTATAGTCAGATGCTTTTAATAATAAGATGTCTTCGTATTTGGGTAAAAAAGAATAACTGGATGATTCAGTCCATATCAGTATCCTCTCTTCCACCTTCAGTGTCCGCATTCCCCACGGATCACCTTGTTTTCCTTTCCTATCACAAACGGTAGCCATGATTATGTCTGTAGCTGCCATATTTCAACACTGATTCTGATAAGTTGTGTTAAACAGCTACTTCCTATTCTTTAGAGACAGACTATAAATAACGTCAATGGTTTCATAATTCATTAAATTATTTATTAATAGGCTAAATTTGAGTCCTCCAAAGTTGAAAGAATAGCTTTCCATTTCATTATTTCCTGTATTTATGTTTCAGTTGTCTATTGCTGAGTAACACCACCAAAATTTAGTGATTTAAAACATCAAAAATATATTACTTTTATGACTATGCATGTTAACTTGACTCAGGTTGGCAATGATTTTACTCCATAGGGTGTATGTAGGAGAGCTCACTTACATGGCTACGGACTTCTAAGAAGGACCTTACAAAGGAAGCCCTGATGTGCGCATGCTGCCCAAGAGTCTGTTTGCATCGCACTTGCGATTCCAACTGGTCAGATAAAATCATAGGAATACTAAGCACATACTGGGCACCACCAACCAATATTGTCGTATAGCACCCTCTTCTTCTTTCCTAATATTTCATATTCTTTCCACTTGCAAAATTCACTCACCGCACAGGGGTTCCCAAGACTCTGGTTTCATTCCATTATATTATCAGTGTCAGCCTTAAATCTCACAATTCATTCAACTAAATATCAGGTGCCACTACGTCTCCTCAAGTATTATACCTTGGGTGTAGTTCCTCAGTTCGGATGCTAGGGCACTAAAAAAAGACAATTTAACTGCCCCTAGGAACACAATTTAACTGCCACTAGGAACACCTACAGAAAATTGAGAGACGGGTGGGTTAATAGCAATAGAGGCTGCCGTTCAAAAACAAGGAGGGTGGAAATGGGGGCATTTGGCAGTTACTTGCCTGTAGAAATTTTGAAATTCAAACAATATTTACTTGTCCCAGCTGGCTCCAACCTAAGGGATGTTCCTTGATTAGGATCTCATTCTATGCCCTGGGAGTGATTACTAAATCCATTGCTGTCAGTAGCTCTTAAGGTGGCTGTTTTGAGATAGTCTTACTTTTCTATAGGATATAGTGTATGATTATAACAGAGTAAATTTCTTGTCCTGCTTCCTAGCCAGATAAAGTTAGTACCTAGACAACTATTTTTAATTAAACCAAATGCCATTAAGTTCAAGCTGATACAACTCCTTTAAAAGAACAGTATGAGGTTTTTATGTGTCAATTTATAATTGCTACATTAGACAGAACCCATCCTCTCAAATCTCTTCAAGATAGACCCCCCTCTATGTTGGGCTGCAAAATAAAGTGTCATTGAGTAATGCCCTTAAGAGTCTTCAAAGCCTATTCATTCAATTAAGAATGTCCACAAGGCACCTCCTTAAATTCATTTCCTGAACAAAGGACACCCTTGATTTGATTTAGATCTCAAGGCTATGTTTTACTGGCAATACCCTAATTTATATGTATCCTTATGCCGTTTATTACTTTGAGAAACTTTTGACAGCTGAAAAGCATGGGAATAAGAGAACAAGTCTTAGGTAAAAAAGTAATCTGAATTCTGCTTGAAAATGAGAGAAAACTTCAGAAAAAAGAAAGACAATTACCCCTTTAAATATGTTGCCTGGAAATCTTCTGAGTCAGATTCACAAACTCATTAGTTACATTTTCTGTTTTTTTAATTTATCAGAGGCAATAATTTCCCTAATTGTTTTTGCCATCACAAAGCATGGCTTCCTTTGTCTCCAGTCTCCAAAAGCAATTTTTCACTGTTATAGTGGTCTTCATTAACATTCTCCTTACCTACATTCAAGCCTCCATCTCCTACCCACTCTCAAAGCTAATGGTAGAAGTTTTAAGATTTTGTTATAGTAACAACCCACTTACAGTTTTCAGTTTCTGTTTCACTTATCTGCGTCATTGTATTACTTTCCTATTGTTGTAAGTACAATGGAGTGACTTAAAAAAAAACCTATACATTTATTATTTTACAATTTTAGGAGGGCAGACTCTGATATAAGTGTCATTGGACTAAAATCAATGTGATTGTGTTGGTTGGAAGGCTTTTAAAATGTCTTGGTTCAGGTGGTTATAATTAGTTACCATAGACGGGTGGCTCGAACAACAGGTTTATTTCTCACAATTCTTCAGGCTGGAAGTCTGCGATTAGGTGCAGGCATGTTTGGATTCTCATTTAGGGCCCTCTTTCGGGCTGTGTGCTCACATGGCCTTTCCTTGGTGCCTGTGCACGGACAGAGAGAAATCCTCTTTTGATGAGGGCATTAATTCCAAGAGGTCCCCACACTATGGCCTAATCTAACTAAATATTTCCCAAAGGCCCCATCTCCAAATACCATCACATTGGAGATTAGTTTCAAAAAATAAATGGGGGGATATAAACATTCAGTTCATAGTATAAAGGCTGCGCACATTCCTTGCCTTAGCATCCCTTTTCATTAGCAAAACCAGCAATTGCATCCCTTGGGCTTTGTCTTAACAATACACCTCCTCTGACTCATACTCCCTGCCTCCCTATTTCTCTTTAAGAAGCTTTGTGGTAAATATTGGGTTCACCTGAATAATGCAAAATAATCTCTCCTTCTCATGGTTCTTAATTTAATCAAATATACAAAGTCTTTCTTTCTTCCCATGTAAGGCAATACATACATATATATATATAAATACATATGTAGGTTTTAGGGATTAGGACCTGGTACAAACTTTGGAATCATTTGTCTGCCAACCAGTCAAGTAACAGACCATTACAAAACATATTGCCACACCTTAATGTATAATGATTTTGTTTGTTGACTTGCTCAATTTGGGGTGTGTGTGTGTGTTGTTTTGTTTCTCCTCTCTTGATGTGTTGAGGCCAATCATACAGCTGTATTCAGCTGGAAACACAAAAGAAACTGGCATTTGAAAGGTAACTTCTCATCCTTTAGGTCTTTCTCCACATGGCCTCAAGTCATCTGTAGTGTAATACAAAGACCTTTAGAGCACAGTGAATGGCTTTCAAAACGGAGTTTTTCAGTTCCAACCTGCAATTGCTTATCAAGACTCTATTTGTATCACTCTTGTTAACATGACAACAGCATCCAAACTTTCTGGGTCTGTGAGAGAAGACTTCACCAAAAGAAATGAATTATTAGCAGCAGCAGCAGCAGCAGCAAGAACAACAACAACAAAAACCCATATCTTAGTCAAGCAGATAAGTGGCTCAGAACATTTAAATTGTTCTACACTTAAGAAATCGTGGAATGGAACGGAATGGAATGGAATGGAACGGAATGGAGTGGAGTCATAGAGCTTACGTAGACACTAGATACATCATTGCTGATTCCCATTATTTTTATAACTAAACTTCTGGTAAGCAGAAAGAT